AGACTCAGGAGCAGGGTCTCTGTTGGGTTTGCTTGTTTAGTCAAAGCACTTTGCTATTGATCCAGACTATTGATCCCAGCACTACAGTAGCATTTGAGTGTCTCTTGCTGCTTTTGATTTGTCTTTCATGAAACATTTACGCCACTATTAGTCTCTTCCTGTTTAAAAAGCCAAAAACACAACTGCCCTTTTGAATTACTCAAATTAAATTTGACATATGTCAGATTTACTGAGCCTGAATTATTTTGTATCCATTCACATTTACGCCAGTAACCCATCTTTCTACATTTGGAGCCGAAATACATGTCTAGGTGTGTTATATTTTACCTGGATGATGCTGTTTGTATGATACGTTTCTCTTGGTTTCTGCCCTATATAAACATTGTCTCTCCAAAATGTTAACTTTTTTGAGCTATGTTAAAACTATATATTTTAGAGGTTTTAATGGTTTATTTAGTTTTTATTTAGTTTTTATTTATATAGTATTTATCAGTAGTGTGAACTACAGGAATCCATGAAACTACAGAACCTTTCCCTAATGGTTTAAGGACTGCTGGTGACTTTCAACACATGCTTCTGTTTGATTTTAATTAATAACAAGGTTAAGGCTGAAAAAACAATTGGTGATTTACCAATTCCTGTTATACATAATGCACGTAGCCTTTACCAAGGTAATGGTTTTGTGCAGTAGATGTCCATGCTGAGCTTTCTCATATTGACTTTATTGCATTTTACTGTGTGGTCTATGAATACATGTATTCAGCAGGTTTAAATTAGGCTGACATATAACAACTGCCAAATCATTTTGTTATAATTAGGCAATAATTCTTGATTAAAGTGGGTTTAATTGCTTATTTACTGGATGATTACCTCATGAAACTCAGTAAAATGTTGAGGGAAGTACTACTAGCAAAAGGCTGCCTGTGTGTCTTGCTACTGCACCATACAGTCCACTATACTGTAGGTTAAATGGCAACATAGACAGTATTAGTGTTGGGTTTGTGCAGATTTTGGCAGTTTTATCTCTTCCTCAAACAGCATGATATGTATGGCTGGGTACAGTAAGATAGCTGTCCAAAACTAGAGCCAGTGGGAAGCAGAGCGATCCACATGATACCAACATGCTGTCCAAACATTTCTTTTGTGTCGATCTATCCACTGCCTGTTTTTTTTCATTATTATTTATTTTGCTTATAGGAACAATTTTGTTAATATTTTTACTGCTGCCCACTTTGGAGAAATAGGAATCCATTGGGCACTAGGAGGAGTAAAAGAAAAACAGTAAAGGATGATGGTGGAGATACAATAGCAGAGAGGATAGGACAGAACTGACCCAGTTAGAGAACGAGAGAGGAGAAGAGAAATATAGAGAGGTGATAGCAGGGTGCCGTGTGCCAGCATCGCCACTGTGGCTGGGGACCTGCTGGGCCATCTGGCAGCCCTGTAATTGGGTCGAGGTTTTACACCTGAGCAGCACACCTCTGACGCTGGAGATGGAGATGCTGGAGCAAAAGAAAAAAGAAAACAAGTAGTTCATTGCATCCTTCAGAGCTATGAAGGTGGGAATGACTGTGATGGTTGAGTACAGGTTAGATCAGTTGATACTCTAGTGTCTCACATATTAATATTTTGCCCAAATTTGCATTCGGCACTTTCCGCTTGTATCACCCATAGGACACAAGATGGGAGACGGGTTGTCATTGGAGTGGAAAGGACAAGCTGCAGTGTGACAAAGGAGCAGGAAAGACATTTTGTGCAAACACAACAACCTTATTTAAAATGGGCTATAGTAGTGACAGGGCTGATATTAACTCTGTGTGGCAGTGGATATACAGTATGATTACATAGCGATGACAGCCTTTGGAAAGGGAAAAAGGTCAACACCACCCTCAGGTTTTCCATGACGATGAATAAGGCCCAGTTCACTACAAATGAGACTGGCTCTTCAGATGTACTGCTGTGAAACACTGCAGTCGATGTTGATAAAATGGAACTTGTCATTTTATGCTTGAATGGGCTTTAAGGTGCAAAAATATGCTGAATTCAGGTCTTATTTTTGCCACCGATGTGAGGCCTGCTGTGAGAGACATTAGACACCATGGACACTCCTCCACACTGCCCTTGTTATTTTCCATTTGACATTTCTTACCCATATTGAGAAGCATCAGGCTTGTAAAATAATGTGATATTAAAACCTGATGCATTATTTCATTTAGATACATGTCTCAGATTGTGTACTTGAAAGGCTTCCAATTCACTGGACTGATTTCATCTAAATAAAGATTTGCACCTTCAGCCAGGTCTCAGAAATAATTCTTATCAACCCCACCCCCCCACCCAGCAACACCCCCACAGCATGACCACTTTGTTTCTGTAGAAACAGCCTCCCACATGCACTCTGCAGAGCTTCAGTGTGCTCCCTAAAAGTCCTCGCCTGTGTTGAAGTATCTCTGTCATTGCCAAGTGTGCCTCTCAATGGCTCAGCCCCCACACTAACCTTGCCGCATTTCAAAGCGAGACCAATGGGAGGCTGAGCGAACATGGACGTGTAGGCATCAATGCAACCGAGGGGGAGGTTGAGAGGGCCAAGGTTGCCAACAGCTGCTTTGTTTGGAGCGAGAGAAGGCTAATTGCCACTCTTGAAGTGAAGATAAATTGTCTTTATTGAGTTGTGTTTTGATTTCTTTGATTTAGTTTTTGTAGACTAGGTATTGTTTCTCTCTCTCTCTCTTTACAAGTATTTTTGCAGCAGCTAGCCACATGCCTTGAAAATGTTTGTTGGTGACAGACAAAGATGTTGTTAAAGCAGTGTTAGCTAAGTGTTAAAATCACAGCTGGAGGGTGCGGCGATATCATGCTTTCACAGAGTATTGGATGCAGCAGCTGGCAAACATGAAGTGATTGTGAACATAACCTCGTGCGAGCAATGCAGAGTCAGAATTTTCCAAATTCAGTGCCTACACGAAGGATTCAGACTTGGTTAAGCTGATTCTTGGTCAGCTCTGGCTGTGTTAAGGTACTTCTTTTATTTAGTAGTGTTGTGCCACTCATATCAAATTGATGAAGTCATGTACAGTGCTTAATGTTTGTAAGGTTTAGAGTTAGTTCAGCATCATGGGCTGAGGAAACTAAACATAAAATGCGCCACTTGATATTTTTGCTTCCTCCAGCTTATTTTTTAGGAACATTTCAACCACCTGCTATCACACATACTCACACTACTTCTGTGCTGGACCAGGAACAGGTTGGTCTCTTGCTACCAGTTAGTGCAGTCTCCTGGTTTTCGGTGCTTCTGATGTTAATTGTCCTAGCTAGTGTCTCCGCCGCTGCTGGCCAGTTTAATTGGCTGCTACCCGTCTGGCTCTTCTTGCTGCTAGCCTGATGGCAAAACATCCCTAGCAGTCTGAGTATCTGCCTCTATGTTTCATTTCCTCAGTGGTTTAAACAAGATAGTGTAGAATTGGAGGTAGTCCAGGATATTCATACACTAAGAAGTTAAATTACAATCCCCTGTAATTGTTTTGCCATTTGATAGTGTTCGCAAGAAATTCAGGGTTACAGGAAAAAAACAGTAGCCATTTAAATCTAGATTCTAGAAAAACAGCTGGGAAATTTCATTGAGTAGAGAGAATTAGAAATGATGTCTCCCACCCAAAGCTCATTAAACAACTACTCAATTGAAAGTGGCCAATAGTTTGTCTTTTATACAAGATGTGATTGTGCGAAGCTGATCATCACCCAAGGCAATGAAATAGGTTCATTTCTTTATACCCAAAGAAAATACCCACATTCAAACAGGGCTAAATTTTTTGGTGAAGCACAAATATTGAAAAGGCACTTTGTATCTCTGATGTACTCTGGTCCAAATTGCTTCTGCCTTTGCAAACCTCATTTTATTCATTTGAAGAAGCTTAAATTGGATTTCAGCTCTCTGAAGCTTTCTCTTCCTTCATGTTTTCAAAGATGTTATTAGGATGAGTTGGCAACACATTTTGTTGTCAGCTCTCTGAGGTTTAGACACAGATATTACTGGAGGCCATTCTGATGTTACATTTAGATTTTTCTTGTAGCATTTTAAGTATTTCTGTCCACACCAGTGCGCTGCACTTTGGTTAATGAGCACTGTACAGTGGCAAAGGAGGAGAGACAGGTCATCAACCTTCACTGTGTACTGGTGGTAAAACTCTACAATTTTAGTGTGCCATTATCCCCTTTGATTCCTGTGGTCACAGAGCCAAATTACAACCTGCATGCAAAGAGTAGACAATAAATAGTTCCTCTCTGCAGTAGAACTGTCACAGCTCTGCACCTTTGCCTGACAGTTGTGTGTCATGATACTAAGTAGTACACAACACCGGAAAGCCAAGAAAAGATGCCTGGGTTAACATTCACTTATGTAGTTGTACATAGAAAACATAGTCCAGTTATTCTTTTTCTGTTAAACCATTTCATTTTCAGAAAAAATACATCGGTTTTAGAGTATATATATAAAGCTTGTCAGCCTAAAGATGTTATAAATACTGTTTTATGTACTGTATGTAGGGTAAATGCACCTGCTGATACATGGGTCGACTTGTAGTCCTCTCGGCCATGCAACATTAGTTACTGCACTTTCAGTTGACTTGTGAAAGCAGGGTTTCAATTAAGTCAGTAGCAGTGCTTAGATTTACTGCCAGTGTTATATGAGAGTGATAAATAATCATTTTTGTCCCTGCTCTGTGATGTTAATCTGGAGTTCAAGCAATGAGTAAGGAGCTTTGTTCTGAATTCAGCAACCTGGCTAATCCATTGTGGGCCCCAGCTCATGTTTACTCAGGCTGAGCCAGCAGCTGCTCACACGATCTGCGTAACCTGACGAGGCGAGCGCGCTTGCCTGTGATTTGCATCTGTCATAGCAGTAAAAATATATTTTTTTAAATCTAACCTGCCCTGTTTCATTTTTCTCCGCTTCTCCAGCATCTGCCTGGCTGCCCGGCATCGCCACGATGACTGAGAGCCGTGGCTCCAACACCACCAACACAGCCGGCCCAGGTACCGGCGAGAAGGATGAGGCCTTTTCCAAACTGAAGGACAAGTTCATGAATGAGCTGAACAAAATCCCATGTATGTGTGCTTAACTTTCCTAAACACAGCTGAAAGCAATCAACAGAAAGTGAACCAGCAATGCTTTTGTGATAAATTAATCATTTAAGTCACTTCCTTGGGTAAAATTAAAAACAAGCAAAAATGTTTATCGATAGTAAAGTGCATCGTTTAAGATTTGGGCCATTTCTTGGACAAAGCTAAATTGATTGTATCACCTTTGGGCATTGCTGTGCATCATTTAAGATGAGTTCATCGATTTAAAAAAAAAGGAACCGCCTTATTTTCAAATGAGAAGAGATATCGTATTAGGTCCAAACAAGAAATGTTTTTAAGCAGATAACATTTTAATCCCAGTCATGTCAAAATTTTAAAAAATGGTTACGACACCAATTGTTAATATATCTGTAAAAGGGCAACAATAATCAAGAATGATTAATAACTCAAGTAGAATACAACGAAAGTCCAACCAAAAGTGTATATTTCCCAGAGGAGAAGTCATCATCATCATCATCAACTTTATTTATATAGCACATTTAACACAGCCAGAGCTGACCAAAGTGCTTAACACAATATCCACAAAACCCATTAAAACAAATTAAAACAAGCAACAATACACTTAAAACACTTAAAAGCAACACTTAAAACAACCACCCATCATAAAACAAAGGTTCAACAAGACAGAGGCTCATACTGATTCGAACGCCAAACGGTACAGATGAGTCTTCAAATAAGGTTTAAAAGTGGACAACAGGGGGGCCTGCCTAATGTAAAGGGGCAATGCGTTCCACAAGTTAGGAGAAGGCTCTGTCCCCCCTAAGTCTCCGCCTAGCCCTCAGTGTCTCCAAGAGCAGCTGATCAGCTGATCTGAGGCACCAAGAGGGGCTATAGGGATGTAGCAATTCTGTAAGATAAAGGGGGGCCAAACCATTTAGAGACTTAAAAACAAATAGAAGAATCTTAAAATGAATTCTAAAACACACCGGCAGCCAATGTAGAGAAGCCAAAATGGGTGTGATATGGTCCCTTTTGCGCCCTCCAACCAGTAGACGAGCAGCAGCATTTTGGACTCTCTGAAGGCGGGCAAGTTCCGTACAACCGCATTCACTTGATATTCCATTCTAAGAGCAGAGTCTATTTTAACACCAAGGTTTGTAACCTGTCATCCTTGTCATCTTCATGCTTCATCAGTGCTGTTTTCCACTGTTCTTGCAACTACATGTGATGTGGGTATAATTACAGTCCCTCTGATTTAAAACCAGAAATGAAACCATTCAGTGGACTCAGTGTGATCCTGGATTAGCCATGTCTCAAAAATGACTCAGCAGCCTTTGCAAGCGAATTTTTTGTTGATGACGTAAAGAAACTGCTAGTCTCCCCATCTGACAAAGACATCCAGTGAATCAAGGCTACCAATGAATAATTTTTTTTTTTTTTTTAGTTCCTTCCAAGTCAAATTAGTCACAATAAATTCAAATATTCTCAGATGGCTCAGGCAGCAAGAAAGAAGTAATCACATTTGAAGTGGATAATAAACATCTGGCAAAAGTAATTCAAGTGTTTGACATGATAAATCACTAAATTATGCGTAACAGCCTTTATTACTTGCTGTAAGATTCTCTGTTTTTCTCTCTCGTGTGTGCATTCAGTCAAAATACTCTTCATTTCTACACAGTGCAACACCCTCCTACCCTTTTATCACCAAACCTTCCAACCAAATGCCTCCACATACACACACTTCTGCCTGGAGCATTTTGCAGTATTAAGTATATGAAAATATGGTTGTCATTGTGTCATCCATGATAAAGCAATGCCTGGAGATCTAAGGGTTCCTGTATTCAGCAGAAATCTAAATATAGCTGTATCCACAGGCTCAAGTAGAAATAATTCTCATAACAGGAAATGGCTTCTTTGGAAGAGGAGCCTGGTTTCTTCAGCAAAGACACAACTATATCATTAGTTCTGTTCTGGCTCTCCAGAGGTTCAGTAGTGCAATGAGTCTGCATGAGAAATTCCTGCTTCCACAGAGTTAGATTTATTTGTACCCAGTAGTATAGTTACCAAAATAAAAGCCCTAATTTATACTGAATTATGGTGTATAATTACTTAAAAGCTTTTGTATATACAGAGGAGCAAGACCTTGTGATGCTTTAAAAACAAAGGGCAGTATATTAACAATTATCCTCTGCTGTACCAGGAGCCAGTTTGAAGACGACAAAACCAGAGTTATATATTGAAATTTACAAGATGAATGGTAGCAGCATTTTGAACTACCTGAAGCTTGGTTAGACGGGCCTGAGAAATCCCAAAGTAGCAGCATTACAGTAGTCTAATCTTGAGCTAATGAAAGCATGAATTACCCTCTCAAAGTCGTTAAAACAGAGAAAGTGTTTCACCCTAGCCAATTGCTTCAAGTGAAAAAAACTATAGTCTTAGTCTTAACATAAAGATCTTTGAGGTCATCCCTATAAAACCTGCTCATTATTCAGTGTCTTCAGTTACTGTTTTCTCACATCATCCCCTAAAACAAAAGCAGTTACTGTAGTATGCTCCCTAGTATTGCCAAGCTGATAAATGCCTCCAGACTTGATTACTCCGGAATGTCAATAATGTCTCGAGAAAGTCAGACAGCAAAAGTAAGAAGGAATCTGCTTGAGGAGAAGCTGCACTCTCAGCATAACTTCTCTACAGCGGTAGCAAAAGCTTTTCACTTGGGCTTTTAACCTGGTTTAAGCCGAACAGGCTTTGAGCCTGGTCGTGTGGAGCTGTCACACTGGCCTACAGTAGCTTGTTGCTGAATTTCTGTCTATCAGGATCCGCAGGACAAATCTCTAAGCTGACATTTCAGGGCCCCATCCGTTCGCTGAGATCTTTATTTCAGTCTTTCTGAATTTACTGTTAGCTTTTTCTTTAATTAATTCGAATTTCTCCTCCTTAGAAAGGTAAACAAAGGTATATGTACCGATGAAAAGAGATGTGCAACACTAAACAAAGCGGGTAATTGAGAAACCCTATAATTTAACTGGCATAATACCAGACAGAGTTAACTTCTCCAGCCTTACAACAGCATTGATGATCTGACCGACCCCAGGGTGCTTCACTGGTCAATATGCCCATTCAAGGAAATCTGTGAACTATTGCGTAAGACTTTAGATAATTGAGAAACGTTTCACCAGCAAGAGTTTGCGAGACTTGTATAAACCGAGTTGTTTTTACCGCAACATAACTACACCTTATTTTTTGAGCTTTCAGTCATGCTTAAAATGATAATTCATCATTGTAACATTGTAGATAAGTCAGAAAACACAGAAAAGCATGTCGTGGGCACTTTCATATAGCAATGTTAACATTACGTTAACAAAAGACCAGGAGCTTGTGTTATTGTTAGCAGCTGGCTAACTGCAGTGCTCAGGCTGCTACCAGAAGCCAAAACTGTAGCTAACAAGCTGTTAATAATGGTACGTGTTTCATGCCATCTCAGCGTTAGCTAACTAGTAATTATATAAATAGTGTAAAGAAGCTCTAGGGTCCGGTTTACGTCCAAAAGCTGCACACTCCAGCATATTTACTGTCAACTTTAGTGAACACACTCTATCACTCCAAAGTTAGCTCTGGCTGACCCCAGGTCAGAGGTTTTAGGTATCAGGTTTCAGGAGGCACTGTTGAACTCTGCATTTGCATAGTGAACTGTGACTGGCTTTCAGATTCGTGTTGTCACAAATTTGGTTTGGCCGTGGATGTTTGAAATCGGGATTTCTAGGAAGTGGGCTGACACTGCCCCCTTCAGCAGAATAATGTGAAAACGCTGTTAGTGACAAACTGTGCACATACACCTGTCAATACAGTAGAGGTCTGACATTTTATGGCATATAAACATTTTAAGAAAGTTTTTGAGTTTAGGGGGTCTTTAAGATTAGTCTTTAATAGCTTTTTAAATCAAGTAATATAAAAAAAGTATTGAAATATTGGGCTTTTTAAAAAATAGAAAAATCTGCCAATATGTTTACAGTTGTAGTTCACATTAAAATCACCTTATGTCAGCGGAGCAGTTAGTCATATTTTGCCTAATTTAAGCTAATGACACTGGAAACCTGCATTGTAAACTGGTACAGTCTTCTGTGTCCATTGGATTTTTTTATTTGACAAAATACAAACAGCAGCCTACAAAATGGAAGTGCTGAATTTTGCCTTCTCACCTGAGCTGACCTAAATTCATGCTGTGTCCCACAGCAGCATGTACACAGGAAAGCTCTTTCTTGTGTACTCTGGGTCTGACCTTTGACACTAAAACTCTTTTGGGACTGTCAAACAAGGTCTTTCACTCTCTCCAATAAGAGTCATACAGCTGATGGTTCCAGCCAAAAAAGCAAAAATAAAACAGACTCAAATCCAAGTTTATTCAAGTGGATTACAATGGTGGATCAACAGAGCCTGCTGTCTCTGCCTGCCTGCTGCTCTGGCGACTAGCCTGGTTATCTACTCTCTGCCCTGACTTCTCAAAAGTTTTTCTGCCAGGAGACATGATCAGGGACTGGTCAGACCAAAGCCAGATCATATCCAACCAGCACCATCTTCCCTCTGAGTCCTCAGTCAACAGAAGGAAAACAGATCTCCTGTCTTCTCACTTCTGAATGTGTCTGAAAAGGGTTAAATATGAGTCTGTGCTGGAGCTTCTGTAAATACAATAAGCTGCTCTGTGCTGTTCAGCATAATTTTCCACATTCAGAACCTTTGTCTTGTTATGCAAGGCTTTTACATGTAAATGAAATCTCGCTATTAGAAATCAATATCCATCCTCATAGAAAGCCAAGGTCTGGCTGCCTCTTCAAGCTAGTGTCTGTTCCACTAGCCTAGCGACTAACTAGTGGTGTCTCCTTTGTCAGTCTCTGTAAGGACTTAAAGGGTTAATGAATGTTTGCTACTATACTTAACAATTAAATGTGAGCATTTTGTCATTTTAATCAGTATAATGTTATTTTATTAGCACTCAGTGGCTTGACAATGAGATTTTGAGAAGAATG